ATGCAATTAAAAATCAACAATTGAAAAAAGAAGAAGAATATGAAGAATCTCGTCAATTATTAGTAGAATTCATTTTGGATAATAATCAAGCATTTAATATTCTAAATTGCAAAAGTTTTCGTAATTTGCTATATTCTCTTGATAAAAATTTTATTGTTCCTTGTGATAAACAATTAAAGCTATGATTGATAAAGCTTATATATGGAGTTGTATACAACTTAATGAGTTATTAAAAAGTGATTGTATTGCCGCCTTTATAACTACAGATTTTTAGACATGTAGAGCAAAACAAGGATATATTGGTGTAACATGTTCTTGGATATCAATAGATTGGAAACCTAAGGAAGCACTTTTAGAACTGAAACAGGTTTCATATCCTCATACTGGAGAAATTATATCACAACTTTTAATAGAAATTTTTGAAAAATGGAATTTAATAATAATTGCATTAACAACTGATAATGGTCCGAATATTAAAAAAGCTGCTCGAATAATGGAAAATATTAATCGCTTACCATGTGTTGCCTATACATTACAATTGACAGTTAGTAAAGGATTAAATATTATTAGAGTACTTATTTTACGAGTTAAGCAACTTATTGATTTTTTTCATATATCACCTAAACAATCAGAAAGATTAAATGCAGCACAAAGGGAACTTAATTATACAAATATTTCTTTGGTAACTGGAGATGTTTCTACTCGATGGAATTCTTCATTTTATGCCTGGAAAAGGTTATTAAGGCTCAAACATGCAATCATTTTTCTACCCAGTCGTTTACAATCTGATCTTAATCTAGATGCTAAAAAAGATGGTCAAAAATTACAACGAATAATGCTTACAAAGGATGAATGGAAACTACTAGGCGATCTCATTAATTTATTACAAGGATTTGAAGAAGCAACTGTATTGCTTAGTGGATCTAAATATGTTACAATATCACTTATGTATCCTGCTATATCTCGACTTATATCTGAAATTCAACCAAATAATGAATCTTTAATTACTGAAA